AGTGGTACGGGTACCACCTGTGGTACATTGGCACCTGGCAGGTGGTACGTGACCATCCTAGAAAAGTGGTAGCGGGGGAGGGGAATGAGCTGAACCGGTGGCAGCACCGCACAAGCCTGAGCGAGAGACGGCTGGAGCTGCAGGGCTGTCAGGGCTCAGCGGAAGCGCCAGGATCAGTGCCGCTTTCCAGCTGATCGGCACTTCTTCGGGGCTGTCAGGGCTCAGCGGAAGCGCCAGGATCAGCACCAGGCTCCAGCTGGAGCTCAGCACTGATCCTGGTGCTTCTGCTGAGCCCAGAAGAAGCACCAATCAGCTAGAACTCGGCACTGATCCTGGCGCTTCTGCTGAGCCCAGAAGAAGCACCGATCAGCTGGAATGTTGCAGCATCTCCAGGGTCTTGGCAAGTGATTCATATTTATGACGGTCACAGTGTCCCAGGGTCATGTGAAGTGACCAAAACCTGCTGCAACCACCCAGCAGACGGGGGGGGGGGATAAAAACCAAACACCCCCACTGCCAATCCTCAACAGAAATGCTCACAACAATGAAAACCTCGGACAGGAGGAAGAGCGCCGCTGGGTGGGCAGGCAGGTGTCTTGCTCAGCTGTGGCTTGGGGGGCACTTTTTTCAGTGCCGTTGTAACTTCGAACAGTCACTAAGCGAACTGTTGTAGGTCGAGGACTACCTGTACTTCATCACTTTTTTCTTTTGGGGGGGTCATCAAGTTTTTGACACCTTGCTAGGCAAGTGGTGGTACTCGGATGTTGCCATATCCTAAAAGTGGTACAATGGGTGAAAAGGTTGAAAAGCCCTGGACTAGAAGACCTCTAAAGTCCCCTCCAACACTGTTATTCCATATTCTATATTCTGAACGGCATTCCCTTGGACGGTTTCCTGAAAGCAAATATTTACAGCCCTTTTTTTTATGATCCTTTGAACAATAAATGGGTAGTGCTTTGAATCAATAAAGCAATCATTATTCATGTGCATACATATTTTTTTTCTGAATTGCCTTGTTTGGTGACTTGACATACTGCAAGGGTATACAGATGTATCTGACAGTGCTCTGACCGACATGCCTCTGACAGTGAAACCAATTGACCCAGATGATTGGGGGCTCCCTTCACTGGGTGTTTCCAAACTGGCTGGATGCCTGTTTATCAGGAATGCTTTAATCTGGATTCCTTCAGTGAGTAAGGGATTAGATCTGAGAGCTTCAGTGGTGCCTTCGAATTTGATGGTTTTATGGACCAAATATTCAAATGTTTCAAATATTCAGAAAATGCCTAATGACTCTGCTAGTGTGTCTCTCCCCCCCCCCCAAACAAAAGAGACGGTTGCAGGAACTGGGTATGTCTAATCTAATGAAGGACTAGGGGGTGACATGATAGCAGTCTTCCAATATTTAAGGGGCTGTCACAGAGAAGAGGGGATCGATTTATTCTCCAAAGCACCCGAGGGCACAATAAGAAGTAACAGATGGGAACTTATCTAGAATCTAGAACTTTGGAGAAATTTCCTGACAGTGAGAACAACTAATTAGTGGAAGGGCTCGCTTCCAGAAGTTGTGGGTTTTCTATCACTGGAGGTTTTCAAGAAGAGACTGGACAGCCATTTGTCTGAAATAGTATAGGCCAGTGGTGGCGAACCTATGGCACGGGTCCCAAAGGCGGCACTCAGAGCCCTCTCTGTGGGCACGCGCGCCCTCGCCCCAGTCCTAGGCCTTCAGCTGGGTTTTATAAAACCTTTTCGCTTTAGGCCTCTGCTGCCGTGTGTAAAAAAAAAAGAAAAGTTCAATCAATCAGTCAATTTCAACTTCTCGCGGGGAAAAAAAAGATCTTGCAAAGTTGGAATTGATTGATTGAACTTTTTAGTCCCACCCAGTCTGCCGTTATCACTGTAGCCACGCCCACCCAGTGGGCCACACCCACCCAATGGGCCACACCCACCCGGCACCCGATGATGCATAAGTGGGTTTTGGGTTGCAGTTTGGGCACTCGGTCTCTAAAAGGTTCGCCATCACTGGCATAGGTTCTCCTGCTTAAGCAGGGGGTTGGACTAGAAGACCACCAAGGTCCCTTCCAACTCTGTTACTCTTTTCTGTTACTCTGTCTTCCTCCCTCCCATCTAGGCCACCTTGAACAGCAACACCTGGCAGCAAAGACCAAGGATGGGCCTGAAGTAGGGGCCCAGACCTTAACTTCAGCCCTAGGGCCACTGCTGCCATTCACAAAGCTGCCTTGCATGGCGCCGTTCCCCAGGTGCGCAAGCCTTCAGGGAAAGCATCATTGCCCCTGTGGTCCAGCACTCCCCAGGATCTGCCATTTGCCACTTACCTTCAGGCAGTGTTCTCTTTCGGTTGACGAGTCCCTGTGGCCCATCTAGGGCTTCTCCGGTCGCACAAGGCCTTCTTCCTTGAAGCAGCTTCGGGAAATGCTCTTCTGTGGCTCCTGTGGTCTTTGAAAACCACCAAAAGTCTACCCTGTTTTTACGTACTTTTCAGAGGCTCCAGACCAGTGGTTCTCAACCTGTGGGTCGGGACCCCATTTGGGGTCGATCGACCATTTCATGGGGGTCGCCAAGCAAGGCTGTCCGCCATTTTTTTTTGTCCGCCATTTTTTCCCCTTTTCTGGCGGGTGCTTTACCTCCCTTGGGCTGGGCCAGCTGGTGGTCAGCCTGCTCCGTCTCTGCCGCTTGCCAGCTACGCCTCGGCCGGCGCAGGGGGCGGAACCACGCATGTGCGGTGCTTCTGGGCAGGGAAAGTCCTCGACTTATGACCGGTTGGGTAGTCCTCGACTTACGACTGGTTCAGTCCTCGACTTACAACTGGTTTAGTCCTCGACTTACGACCGGTTTAGTCCTCGACTTATGACCGGTTGGGGTTGCGGCATTAAAAAGGTTGAGAACCACTGACTTACATACCGCTTCACAGCCCTCTCTGAGGTGTTTACAGAGTCCCCAGCAATCTGGGTCCTCATTTTACCGACCTCAGAAGGATGTAAGGCTGAGTCAACCTGGAGCCGGTCAGGCTCGAACTCCTGGCAGTGGGCAGTGAGTTAGCCTGCAATGCTGCATTCTAAGCGCTGCGCCACCCGGGTTGTAAAATATTGAATGGTGGTCAGTAAACTTGATCCCTCTGCACCGTGGATCCCACATTAAGGCTCTTTGTTCCATAAAACAACCCTCATGCCCGGAATTGCTCCCTTGAGCGTGTTGCCGGCATAAAGTGGCTGACACGAAATCCTCGACATTAAAGGCACCGTGTTGATTTGTCTGACTTTGATCATCTTGGCTTTTATGCAGTGGAAGAATCGGATATCATCGATCTTGAGAAACGCTATTGGCTCCTGAAAGCTCAATCAAGAACTGGCCGTTTTGATCTGGAAACATTTGGCCTTCTGGTTTCCCCTCCTATTCATCCATCGCTGAGCGAAGGTATGGAAAGCGCATTGACAATCTCTTCTCTTTTTTTTTAATACAGTATTTTTTATTGAGTTTTATAAGGTTAGGGAAAGCATAGGGTCAGTATAGGTATTGGGGTTGCGGGTAAGATTCAGGGTTGGGGTTGGGATAGGGGTAGGTACAACAATGGGGTTACCCCCATTAATATTTCCATGCTTTGGCAAGCAGAGTATTGTCAGGGTACACATATTCAATAGCAGTAATTAATGTAATAGTAAATAACTATAGTAAATAAGAGAAACGATAATCATAAAGAATGTCAATGACAATCTCTTCTTGGTTTTCTGGCCATGTGGGTCCCAAAAGGCCTGTTCTTAGACCAGGGGTCTTCAAAGTTGGCCCTTTTATGACTTGTGGACTTCAACTCCCAGAATTCCTCAGCCAGGCACGCCGAGGAATTCTGGGAGTTGAAGTCCACAAGTCATAAAAGGGCCAACTTTGAAGACCCCTGTCCTAGAGGTTGGTCCCACCTCAGGAGTTCTATACAGGCAATAAATACTAAACATGTAACAACTGCATTAAAAGCGCATGAAGGTGGCACACTTAACGACCACAACAGAGTCCAAAATTTCTGTTGCTAACCGAGACAGCTGTCAAGTGAATTTTGCCCCATTCTACGACCTTTCTTGCCACATTCGTTAAGCGAATCACTGCAGCTGTTGAGTTAGTAACACGGTTGTTGAGTGACTCTGACTTCCCCACTGGCCTTGCTTGTCAGAAGGTTGCAAAAGACCCCCCGGGGACACTGACACCGTCATAAGTATGAGTCAGTTGTCAAGTGTCCGAATTTTGATCACCTGACCACGAGGATGCTGCCATGGTGGTAAGTCTGAACAAAAGGTCATAGGTCGCTTTTCCCAGTGCTGTTGTAACTTCAAACGGTCACTAAATGAACCGTTGTAAGTCAAGGACTGCCTGTATAAGAGGGAGGAGAGAGATATTACCATCAGACTTGTAAAATTTAGTTATTATAACCGATCAGAGGGCCTGACATCCCTCTTCCCATGAAGCAGATACCTGCAAAAAAATTGACACACAAATGCACAGTGGGAAGGAACAAACAAAAACCAGCAAGGACCGGTTGCAGAAGTTGGCTCCATCTGGATTCTTGCTCTCCTTCTAGAAAGTCATTTTTACCAGCTGCCCTCTGGAAAGAATCTCGGGAGGAGCCCTGTTTTTGTAAATTACGAGGGCAATTCAGAAATAAACCTCCATTTGGTTATCAAAGACAGACACTTGCAGATAAAGAACTTTTACTGTAAACCAGTGGTTCTCAACCTTTTTAATGCCGCGACCCCAACCGGTCGTAAGTCGAGGACTAAACCGGTCATAAGTCGAGGACTACCCAACTGGTCGTAAGTCGAGGACTTTCCCTGCCCGGGAACGCCGCACATGCGTGGTTCCGCCCCCTGCACCGGCCGAGGCGTAGCTGGCAAGCGGCAGAGATGGAGCAGGCCGACCACCAGCTGGCCCAGCCCAAGGGAGGTAAGGCACCCGCTGGAAAAGGGGGAAAAAAATGGCGGACAAAAAAAATGGCAGACAGCCTTGCTTGGCGACCCCCGTGAAATGGTCGATCGACCCCAAATGGGGTCCCGACCCACAGGTTGAGAACCACTGCTGTAAACATTAGAAAAACGACAACATTCCATTGCTTTTCGACATAATCACCATTCAAATAGAGGCACTCGTCATGATGCCTTACAAGGTTTGAAATTCCTTAGTCGTAATCGCTCGGGCTATGTGGGGGGGGGGGTGATCAAAAACATCCCAACAGAACTGCTTCAAAAGTTCTTGGGTGCATCTAGCAGTGTGCAGGCGAGCATTGTTGTGAACCAACACCACACCGGAAGTGGTGCCCTAGAAAATCCCGCCAAATGTGAAGATGCCAAAGGAGTACGGCTAGTGAAGTTCATGGACCATCAATTCAGACGTCTACTGTGAAACGTTACGAAAACTCAAGATGAGCCATCCTTAACAAGCGTCAGGGCGCGCTGACTTCCGGTGTGGTGTCGGTTCACGACAATGCTTGCCCGCACACCGCTAGACGCACCCAAGAACTTGTGAAGCAGTTCCGTTGAGATCTTTTTGATCAACCCGCCCCCCTTTACAATGCCTTGGTAAGGCCACACTTGGAATACTGCATCCAGTTTTGGTCACCACGATGTAAAAAAGATGTTGAGACTCTAGAACAGTGGTTCTCAACCTTTTTAATGCCGCGACCCCAAACGGTCGTAAGTCGAGGACTAAACCGGTCGTAAGTCGAGGACTAAACCGGTCGTTAAGTCGAGGACTAAACCGGTCATAAGTTGAGGACTACCCAACCGGTCATAAGTCGAGGACTTTCCCTGTCCGGGAGCGCCGCGCATGCATGGTTCTGCCCCCTGCGCCGGCCGAGGCGTAGCTGGCAAGCGGCAGAGACGGAGCAGGCCGACCACCAGCTGGCCCAGCCCAAGGGAGGTAAGGCACCCACTGGAAAAGGGGAAAAAAATGGACAAAAAAAATGGCGGACAGCCTTGCTTGGCGACCCCCATGTAATGGGCGATCGACCCCAAATGGGGTCCCGACCCACAGGTTGAGAACCACTGCTCTAGAAAGAGTACAGAGAAGAGCAACAAAGATGATTAGGGGACTGGAGGCTAAAACATATAAGGAACGGTTGCTGGAATTGGGTATGTCTAGTTTAATGAAGAGAAGGACCAGGGGGGACATGATAGCAGTCTTCCAATATCTCAGGGGCTGCCCCAAAGAAGAGGGAGTCAAGCTATTTTCCATAGCGCCTGAAGGCAGGACAAGAAGCAACGGATGGAAACTGATCAAGGAGAGAAGCAACCTAGAACTAAGGAGAAATTTCCTGACAGAACAATTAACCAGTGGAACAACCTGCCTCCAGAAGCAGTGAATGCTCCAACACTGGAAGTTTTTAAGAAGAGACTGGACAGCCATTTGTCTGAAATGCCTGAGCAGGGGGTTGGACTAGATGACCTGCAAGGTCCCTTCCAAGTTTATTATTATTATTATTATAGCCCAAATTTGGCACCGAGCGACTACAACTAAGGAATTTCAAACCTTGTAAGACGTTATGACAAGTGCCTCAGTTTGAATGGCGATTATGTCGAAAAGTAATGCAACGTTGAAGTCTTCTAATGTGTATAATAAAAGTTCTGTATCTGCGAGTGTCTGTTATTGATAACCAAACGGAGGTTTATTTCCGAATTGCCCTCGTATTTAGTCAGAATATCCGCATTTGTAAGGGGCAAAATAAATCAGTAAAAATGATGGAGGAACAGTTAAGGCTGACCATATGGCACCTGTTTTTCTCCTTTTGTAAGATGCCCTTTAAATGGACTAAGAAATGAACAGGGGGGGGGGAAAAGCCCAGGATATTAAAACCATGATTTCTTGGAACAGGAGATTGGCTACAGATTTCCATCCTTGGGGGCACAGTGCAATGAATCAGTGTGTAAGTTATTCTGTACAGGTAGTCCTCAACTTACAACCACACTTGGGAGCGGAACTTCCATTGCTAAGCAAGGCGGCTGTTCGGCGAGTTACGCCTAATTTTGCAATCTTTTTGCTATGGTTGTTAAGCGAATCACTACAGTTGTTAAGTGAATCACACAGTCGTTAAGCGAATCTGGGGTTCCCCATTGACTTTGCTTGTCCGAAGCCAATTGGGAAGGTTGCAAATGGCGATTACATGACTCCAGGATGTTGCAACCATCCTAAATACAGGCTGGTCGCCAAGCGCCTGAATTTTGATTACATGACTGTGGGGATGCAGTGACGCTTGTAAGTGCAAGGACCAGTCATAAAAGTCACTTTTTTTTAAGGCCTTTGTAACTTCGAAAGGTGGCTAAGCCAATGTAAGTTGAGGACTACCTATATCTCAGCTAATTGAACCACGATTTAATTGGCAAATTGGGCACGGTCTATAACTGAAACAAACTCAGCCTACTGCTTTGGGACCATCTGCAGGCCTGTTTAACGCCTTTGATGAAAACCGCGACAATCACATAGACTTCAAGGAAATCTCATGTGGACTCTCGGCTTGCTGCAGGGGACCGCTGGCAGAACGGCAGAAGTGTGAGTACGGCTAGGAGATTTCCCCGGCTCCCTTTTCAGGGGTTGCTCCCAGGTTCAGCTTAGGATCACTCACTCACACACACTCAGCCCTGGAAAACAGCCACACAAATCACTTCCACTCATACGCAGAGGCATGAGCCCTTCTTTAGACTACATCAGGGGTAGGCAACCTTGGCTCTTTTATGACTGGTGGACTTCAACTCCCAGAATTCCTGAGCCAGCATGGCTCAGCATGGAAACCTCTCCCTTTCTCCTCAGCATGGCTGGCTCAGGAATTCTGGGAGTTGAAGTCCACGAGTCATAAAAGAGCCAAGGTTGCCTACCCCTGGACTACATGGAGACCCAGTGAATTTAAAGCAACAGCAAAACTTTAGTGGTTACTGAGGGGTCCTTGGTGCTCCCTGAGCATTGATGGTTTTCTTGCAGACGTTTCACTACCCAAACTAGGTAACATCATCAGTGCTAGAAGAGAGTGGGGCTTGCTCTTTACTTATTAATAGTTTACTGGTTACTACAGGGGTCCCCAAACCCTGGGCTGTGGCCCACTACCGGGCCGTGGCCTATTCAGAATTGGGCCATGTGAATGGCTGGCTGGGGGCACTCGTGTGCACTTGCACAACTTAACATGTGTGAGCTGCGAGCTGGCAGTGTGCGGTGGGCCAGCAGGCACTCAACGTGCGTCCGCACGGGCCTTCCGTTCACACAAGTCGAGCTGTGTACATGCGCGCCAGCCCTCCACTCGCACAAGGACTGCATGCGCACTGGCCTGCTGCTTGTGTGGCCAGTTCCCCTCTCCCCGTCCAGCCAGGCCGCCGAGCAGCCAGACACTTCTACACTCATAGGATGGGAAGGGACCTTGGAGGTCTTCTAGTCCAGAGTTCTCCAACTTTTCCTGCTTTGCGGACCGGCGAGGAGAAGGGATGGTTTTGCGCGAGCAGCGGGCGCCCATCGCTTGCGCAAGTGGTGATGCGCTCACACACGCTCACCCACCATTTCCGCGGCCTAGTTCCAAACGGCTCAAGGCCCCATCGTGAGCTATGGCCCGGGAGTTGGGGACCCCTGTTTTAGTCCAACAATCCCAGCTAAGTGGTTGTCCAATCTGTTTTTGAAAACCTGCAGTGATGGAGCGCCCAGGAGGCAAAGCTATTCCATTGATTAATCGCTGCCACTGACAGAAAATGTCTCCTTATTTCTAAGCGACAAATTCTCCCAATCCCTGTGCTGGGATTATAGCAGAGCCTTTGAGAGGCATGCTGGAGTTTGTGTCTTTTGGGAAACCCGCTCTCAAAAATAACAGGAGTGGAATTTATTAATGGGCTCTCAGCTTGTCTTGCTCCTTCTGTGATTTTATTGCTTTTATGATCTGGAAATGTCAAAGTGTCCGTGTGGCGCACACACACAAACACAGACACAAACATGTGGTGTACATTTTTTTTTTCAAGAGGTTGACATTTTCTGCTGTTTCCTCCTGTGTACATAGAACAGCCGCTTTACGATGAGAGGACTTCAACTCCCAGAATTCCCCAATCAGCATGCATTACAGCCTCCCTGCTGGATGGGGAATTCTGGGGAGTTGTTAGTCCACTCATCTCAACATTGTTTAGGTTGAGAAACACAGTGATGTAGAGGTGGATCAGTCCTGGCTCTGTAGGGATAATGTGTAAAAACAGAGCTAAGTTTATTGCCTACAGATTTTTTTTTCCTCCTTTTTTGGGGAAAAAAAGAAGCTTTCTACATCCGTCTATCTAACCTACATTTTAAGTCTTGGGTGTTTTTTTTCCTTTATTATTCTTTCCCATATGGGTGCATGCACACATTAAAGGAATATAATCTCTTGTGATGGTTTTGAAAATGAGGGCTTTTAAAAACTAATTCCCAATCATCTCCCAGCTCTATTAATTCAATATAATATTGTGAGTTACTCTTATTTTATGTCAATTACAATCAATTTTTTGGAAGAGGTTGTCTGGGTTGTCGATAACTCCGCGTTTTTGGGAGCTGGATTTTAATTTCTCTTTAATAAAATATTCATAAGCACAAACAGTTAGCTCGGTTTACGGCATTGACGTTTGTGTCTGTGTGGATGGAGTATGTGGAGAGCCATTGTGCTGTAAATGCCAATATTTGCTCTTTGGAAAAAGAAGAGTAAACAGATTATATCATTTATTACATCACTGGTGCCCGTGTACTCCTGTCCCTTCACTCTCTGAAATAGATTTCCTCCCTCTCACAGAGGCCACTTTTAACTATGCCCTGTTTGCAGTGTCTTCTACTAATTTTCCAGAATCTGCACTAAACTCACAATAACATTCATAATACGGCCTTCTTCTATTTTCTCCATAATAACAACCCAGCTTCATTTCTAGGTGGCTGGGCAGAGAGAGAGGCAGTGGCCCAAAGTCATCCAGCAGCTTTCAAATCTAAGGCAGGACTAGAACTCACCATCTCCTGAAGATTGGCCCCAAATCACCCAGTGACTTTCATCACTAAGACGGGACTAGAACTCACCGTCTCCTGGTGATTGGCCCCAAATCACCCAATGACTTTCATGCCTAAGGCGGGACTAGAACTCACCGTCTCCTGGTGATTGGCCCCAAATCACCCAATGACTTTCATGCCTAAGGTGGGACTAGAACTCACCGTCTCCTGGTGATTGGCCCAGTGTCAACCCAGATGGTTCTCACACCTAAAGCGAAACTAGAACTCTCTGTCTCCCAGTTTTCTAATTCAGCACCTTAAACTCTACACCAGCCTAAACCTTCTCGTTTCTCAAGTTCTCCTCTTTGAACACTCATCATTTGTGTCTTGTGAACTGTAAGTTTCCCAGGCTACTTTCCCATTCTCTCTGAGAAAGTGGACAATTACTAGCTGAGGTTTAAAAGCCAAAAATGATTTTGTTTTCAGGCTTTTTTTTAAAAAAAAAATATATCTGCTTTTTAAAATGCAATTTTTCTTCATAGCAGTTCATCACCCTGTTAAAAAAGTTAACATAATTTTTTGAAAAAATTTTTAAAGTTAAAAGCAGCAGCCTAGAAATGGAAACGATAGATAGAAATAGCAGTTAAATCCCAAGATGACAATTATTAGGGTTCATTGCACAGTCAGCCACATGAACAAAAATAAAAAAATAAAAAATAAAGAAATAAATAAAAGAAGCAGTTTAAAGCAGTTATAAACAAACCATTTATCCCTCCTCCCTCCTTAACATTACAATTATCCCTTCAGCCCCTTATTCAATCTTTTTTTTTCCCCAATGGTCAAATCCTGAAATCATCATTTCACTTTTTCCATATTCAGCAAAAAAAAGTCCATCAAGGGTTTCCAGCCTTTTGTAAAAAAAATTTTTTTATTGTTTTGCCTTCTTTGCTAGTTCTGCCATCTTCACAATCCATTCCTTTGTTATGGGTAATTTCAGTAAGTGTCCATCTCGGTGCGTACAAGTATCTCGCTGCAGTTACCGTAAATAAAAATCAGTCATTTACGTCTTTTCAAATCAACTATCCGTTAAGTTCCAAACAAAAGCAGTTCTCGTTTCATCTCAGCCTTCAAAGTCTTTGGAGTCATTGTAAGCTGTTTTTAGTTCTGTTAGAATAACCATTTCTTTTTTCTTTCAGTTTGCTTCAAGGTTTTTGACGTTGATCGAGACGGGGTTTTGTCTAAGGTTGAACTCGAAGAAATGGTCGTGGCCCTTTTGGAAGTCTGGAAAGATAACCGTATTGATAACATTCCAGTAAGTTACATTCAACATTAACAGCCTCTTCCTCCCCTGCCTTAGTCTTTGAGTTTGCATGTGCATA